GAAAAATTGAACGATTTCGACTTAAGCGCTCCTTAACACTAGATTATGGTTCCAATGTAATTGCACTATCTATTTGTTTGGGGCAGCGCACCTTAACACTAGATGATAGTTTTAGTGTTAATGTGGTTTATTTGCTTCGGATAGGGCTCCTTAACAGTATATGGTGGTTTTGGTGGTTTAAGTGTAACTTCGGTTTATTTGCTTCGGGTAGTACTCCTTACCACTAGATGGTGGTTTTAGTGTAACTACGCTTTATTTGATTCGGGTAGCGCTCCTAAACACTAGATTGTGGTTTTATTGTTACTACGCATTATTTGCTTCAGGTAGCGCTCATAAACACTAGATGGTGGTTTAAGTGTAAATACTGGGGTGACGCTCCTTACATGTTACACAAAATGATTGATTTACTTGCTAGGATTATAGCTATCTAACACTTAAAATGCACCCTCGGAACATAATTCTATTTTACGATGATAGTTTAATCATTAAAAGATTTGCCTCGTGATAATACATCAACATGTTGGTTTCTGCTTTCCGAACGTCACCACTGAGATGTTTTACGCATTCCTTGCAAATCCTGCTGGTGGTTTTGATAACGAGGAGTGCTGACAGCTCATTATGAAATATTTCTGCGTTTTGAAGTAATAGTAGTCAGGGCTGGAATTATGGGTGGACCCAATAAGATCTGGTCAGTCAATCAGAGTGTTGGCACATGCATGGTCGTGGGGGTGTAATGGTACGCGGGTAGGTGCGCCACTTTTCTAGCGCGTCGGTCGCAGTAACACGTTATATATTTTGGATTCGGACTATTTTTCACGCACAGGTCTAAAGAGTTTTGATTTTTCGATTTGGTTCAAGTCATTTTTTTGTTTTCGTTTCCGTATGTATATAATTTTATGTACGTACAGTGAAGAAGTGGTAGTTTTAAATAGATTCTCAGACATTTTGAAGCCTACACTGCAAGCATTCAGGTCTGGTGCACCTCCTGCAGCCCCAGAAGGGTTTCAGGTTGGGTGGCTCGCTTGGTTTCTTATCAGAGAACTGTTTTGATAACTGCTATACGAATAGGATTTTACAAGGAATGAGAAGGAAAACGGGGAAAAGGATGCGAGTATATTGTGTCAGTATATGGTTGATTGTAATATGCTTATGTTGTGCTACACACATCAAACTCTGCCTACTGAACGTGAGGTAAACGTACAGACGTTTTAGTCGTTCTTTGACGAAGTATAGAGTAGACTAGCATTTCCCTAAACAAGCACAAGGACACTACCGATGCCTACATAGTAGCATGACTTCCACGTGCAATGACAATCGTTTTGACTTTTTATTGTGCATTCTTTTCGCACATCAGGTGTCATTAACCACTGCAGAAGTTCAATACATAATATACGACTTGATACATCCATTTCAAATTTTTCACAACTGAAAATATAAGGAATATTCGCTTAGCATCAGTTTATACTTTTCTAAACAAAGACTTAAGCTAAGGACTTTCCTTTCTAAAATTAAAATGGGGGATTGATTAAAATGAATCATTACAAATATTTCTAATTAAATGGGCAGGGCAATTATAACTATTAATATTTAATTTAATTTCTACAGTAGCTATGTTTCTTATATATTTTGTTTACTTAACACACATTTAAACCTAGCGTAAATATGACCATACTATTTGAGGATTTGCATTAAAATTTATTTTTCGTTGTCGTCACCGTCGAGTATGCAGATTCATTATTCAAGAAAAAACAGAATAACATACCAAAATTTGACTATTTCAATGTTGTTTACTGGATCGTAAATTTGATCATAAAGACTAAAAAATATTGGTTTTAAGTAAAGAACATAAACAAAGTTTAACCATAGCACTTTTGCCTGCAGTGACATTATATAAACATAGCTTAATAATTAAGCGGTGGAATTGATTGGCTAAAGGAAATCATGTGAGTGTTTTTAAAGTCCGTAAAATTGAACTACATGTAGTTGGGTTAAAAACGTATTTTAGTGACTTATTTGAAACATATATTTCAGGTTTCAGAAGAATTTAATTCAAGTTGTGTCTGTGATTCTTAAAATATCCCTTAATGACAATGTGGTGTTTTCCATTGTAGCGCTGGCCCTAGCCGCAACCGACTATACATGTGTTGTAGATACATGTATATGTTATATTCTCGCATGTCGAGATCATGGAAACTGACTTCTACGGATGTTGGGTAAACTTGTACAAGCTATCTCCCCTTATCCACTATTTGTAACAAGTGTGTATCAGTTTAACGAAATCACGAAGGACTTGCTTGTATGTTCTTTTTTGTGTGTCTCAGAAAACAACTCTGTGAATGGCTACGTTGTCCGAAAAATATACACCTTTGCAAATTCATGCAAGATAATGGTAAATTTAATACAAAATCAATGTACAAACTGATACACATTCGACAGAAATACTGTAAGAAACCGAGACGAATTATATCAAAGATATCTTTAAATCAAAGAAACAACGATATGCGTCTGAGTAGTGCAATAACAATTACAATTACAATTAATTACAATTACTATAAACAGTAGTGCAATCTTTCAGAGAGAATAAGACATCCTAAAGAAACGCTTGGTTAACAAATTATATCAATATTATCTGATAGTGGTTCAACTATTCTTCATTATTTCTGGCTTAGATTAACATCGGTAAGACTTTTTCAAACGTTTTGTAGTCTATTTTTACGTTTTCCCTTCTTTCATGCTCTGAAATCGCTATCTATCTTAAATTCCCGAAAACACTCCTGAAATTTAAAATATTTTTATTTTAGGATTATCTTTATGGATGGAATAATCCTTTGATCATATTGTGATTTTGTTCTCAACTCCTTTCCTTTTCGACAGTCTCTCCCTGGCCCTCTTGCAATATTGATTTGAATTTGAAATGTTGACGTGTTATTGAAAGTATCTAAGTTGAGAAATATCGATTAGATATTCTTAAAAATCGACTGATCAGTATCATAAGAAATCGTTGTTATCATTGTTTGATTGATTGGTTTTACGTCCGTTTCACTACCGAGTAATTCGGCTATCCAGCAGACGAAGAAATGACAAGAAAATGATTAGAAGGGATGGAGTATGGAGTAAAGGGAGAGAAAAGGGAGACAGGGGAGTAAAGGTGCCGTCTATCCTAAAGGTACATGTATTAATGTATGCGTCTTATTTTTGTAAGACGACTCCTAGGCAAGATCCTTTTTATCACATAATCAAGATTTGTGGCAGTCGTGTAAATGACAATTTTCATGCAACCTTGAAATGTTAAAAAGGCGCAATTTCGACTCAAGTGCGTACGTCTGTGACGTCGTGTACTGTCCTAGACTTGACGTCACAATCCAAACAATTGAAACGTACAACCAATCACAGGGTTGATAGGTCATATTACATGGGTGTATACGCAAAAAAATATGACATGGTATATTCACTGGATAGCACTGTACACTATGTGATAAAATATGATATTTTAAATTAAAACACTATACACTTGAAAATTGTACTATTTTCCAAACGAATACACTATATGTTAGGTGTTGGTTTATCGAAGCTTTACACAAACAATACACCGTGCAAGTAAAACTTTGATATAACATATATCCAAACTTATAAAACATATTGAAGATATTGTTTTTGCTTTGTTATGCACACTTCATGATATTGAAAAAAATATTGATTTATTATAATTAATATTTTTTGTAAACTGGTTATACGAGTACTAATTCCCTCCGTTTTCGCATACGAAATTTGATGGCGTTGAATACCAAATATCATCAAACTTACTGTTTAACAAAGCAACACAGACATTAATAGTTTTCCCTATGCCAGGTTGACCAGTCCTCAAATTCGTATTGGTTAACACAGCGCCGGTTCTCCCCTTCAGTTTCCTCATCTGTCGCGCTAACAAAGACGTACCGTAGTTCTATATAAATTCAGAAATATAAGGTTTAATAATCTTTCGTGAAAGTTTTGGGGACATTTTCATGTTAACAATTTCGTTATTCGAAAAATGGGGAAAAAAATAAAGCTGGGTTCCTTGGTAATCTAGCAAACCTTGTTATTCATGTAAGCAGGTAATTGAAACAAGTGTTTGCAGACAAAGTTTAAGTTAGTAGATGCTTTGTCTGCAGATATAACTTAAAACCTTTCATCCAGATAGGAATAAAGAAATACAGACGTGTGCATAGTTTTAAATTTTGAATTTCAAGCATTCTTTTGAATGTTCGACCTGATAAATATAGCCCACTCTGAAAGTGAGTTCAGTTGTGCATGCACTCGTTTTGGCAATGATCTGGTGCAGTATTTCACTTAACCATCAGTATCTTGAAATTAACATTCCTTTTGATAGTAGGAGTCTCTCGAACCGTTCATTCAAAAGTCTCGTAGAGCTTCATTATGGATAATATTTAGATTGCCAGTGACTACATGTCTAGCCGGACGATAGTCGTATGGGGACGTGGAGCAAGAACATGCTGCAGGAAGCGTGATGCTCATGCCATCTAAATTTAATTGTTGTATATGTAGAATTTGCTTTAACGCTAGGCTGCAATGGGTTTAGAATAACTGTAAGAAATGATTGGGGTACATTTTAAGCAGAAAACAACACATGTTTATATAAAACATCGCCTTGTTTTCTGGCAAGTATTAGTTGAAGAATAAGAAGGCACGATGTCCCACCTGCTATCTATAATTGAGGTTTATGGACTTCGCTTTTCTAACCTATCACCAGTGTTTATGTTACTGGTATATCGCTGAAAGGAAATAGAAATGCCTATGCACTTCTCTACAGGTACCCCCTGCATTTACTGCAAATTAAAGTAGAAATAGGTATAATGCAGTATTATAGATTGGTTCTGTATTGACTTTGTTCTTGGTCTGTAGCCTTTATTGGCCTAGTTCGCAGCATCAAAAGTATAAAAATATAAAACAAAACCAAAATTAATAAAGAAAAGCATTTTGTTTTATTTTTGAATCATCGATAATGTGTAAAATATAGTTCATCAGTCTCTCGCACTGTGACGTCTGTATCAATTCTAATAAAAGAATATAACTCTCAGGAACAGGAATAATTTGCTTATAAAATGGTACGGAAAGTACCACTTCTATAAATCGTGTTGACAAGCTACCTGGAACACTGACTGTCAGTCTTCATTTTGTAGTAAAACATTAATCTCAATTTCGTACCATACACTGCTGTTGAGACAATTTCACATTTTTCTTGTTTACTTTTCTGTCAATTGTACGACTGTTGCAAACTTGTTCGTGTTCTTTTCGATTGCGTAACGTTTATATGTCAATTTCAAACACATTTGGACGATATCACAGAAAAAATTCGAATGTTTAGATGATTTAGTTTCGCCCCATTATGTATTTTTTTAGCAGACATTTTTCCTGTATCGGCCAACGTTTGGGAATGTATTGCCCGCGCCGATATTTCTGTGTTGCGCCAATATCAAGCTATTTAGTTAATAAAGTATGATATTTATTTTACTAATGTAAATAGATAACATAGAAGTTTGTCATTATATGAAATCAAATGTTGTAAAATCGTCAAACACACAGACAAACAAATATCTCTTCAACAAAGAAAGCGTGCACATGACAATTCTGATAATCAGACCAAAGATTAATTTATTTATTTTTTTTATTTATTTTTAAGTTTTGATAATTAAACAAAAAGTGATGGTCATACTTAAGCAATAACAAAACCAAGAAGTTATAGATGTTCACGCCAAACAAGATTGAAAGTCTTAACCAAGTTCGCATACAAAATTGGCTTTCTCTTCACACGGGAAGTCATTAAACCCGGTGTTAAGTACCACAACACAATCTTCTTCAACACGAAAACTGTTCGGTTCACCAGGAAGCCAATTGGTTGTGAGGTTTGCGCCGGTACTCCATAAGTATAGACCTTCAGTTTGCTTGTCTGTTGCTCCTACATAGATGGATGTATCATCTGAATAAAAGAATAAACAAAACGATTTGTTATTGCTTAAGCGTTTTTGATATTGTATTAGCTATTTCTCGTCTTCAAAAACTTTTTTGGTGTTACTTTATATCAGGAGTACAAAATTAGCAGAACCTGTTCTTCATTGGAAGGGAAAAGACAAACGGGCAACGGAAACAATTCGCCAGGTTTTCATGTATCTAATGAAACCTTAGATAAAAATAAGCATTATTACGAGTATACAGTAGTGATAGTTCTTTAGAGGCTTAATAATCTAGTTGCCTTGAGTGCTGAATTGGGTTAATCCTTCAGGCATTGTTGATTTTGATATCCGTTTTAAAAACCACTAGTTAACTTTATGATTAAAATTTTGTAAGTTTAATTATGAATCAGCTTCCATGACTGTTTTTTGTATTTTTACAAATTAAAAAAGGGGAAATTGAAAATATTAAAATCGGGTCATTATCTCGGGAATATAAATTTATAATTGTACTAACCAGTCTTGTCTATGCACGTGCGAGGGGAGATAACTTAAACTAGATTATGTCTTAACATTTACAGGATGAAATAGCCTACAAGCAATCTAAAACGATAGCAGATTCAACGAAAAAAGGCAATGAGGGGGACCGTTAGGATGTTATTTATAAAGATGGTTGTGTATTGTCTGAAATATTGCCGAAAAGGTTTCCGGTAGGGGCTGTTTTGGTAGCACAAAGTGCCTTATAATCTTGCTGGAAAATTCGGTTTTGAGTCTATGAGCCCGTAGACCCTCCAAACCAAGATATAACTAATATTAATCACAAAAGGTGTCCGTTTGTTCAAATAGATGAATGAAAGAGTTTTTGAGTAGGGGATTAGCCTCGAACCGTCCATTCTAAAGACAAACGGATACACTCCAGTCACACTGGCTGCCAGTTGGTTACGGAAGTTGCTTTTTTGAGCCCGTTATTTTTATGTACGTTGCCCCTGCTAAACATTGAAATATTCAAAAGGCATTGGACCTAAACATTGGAATCTAGATAAGGATCCTTGTACCGCTGTCAAAAACTACACATTGGAAACGGGGGTTTTCCGGAATAACTATTTCTCTGAAAGTTCTTTATGAAAAAAAAAACCTTTGTAATTAAGAGAGATTTATAGCTGTACGGCCTTAAAAATGCGTCATCGTCAGACATACTTATTAAGCTTGTCATACGGCTTACAAAGGACGCGTGTTTTTGATTTTACTCAAGCAAACATTGTCAACGCCTTCTTTGAAATATTGATCCTCCTAGTTAGGTTGTTCCTATCCATGAGAAATAGCTTTTTTTCCGTTTGGCTGCTGGTGTAGATACACCGTACACTGTACATACCTGGGAAGTCATGCAGCCCTATTAAGTAGTTCAGTTTTTCATCGGTGTCTAAAACGGCAAGTCTAGCCCCCATAGTACCGCAGAACGATTCTGCGTCAGCATTCTTCCTTTTTGTGTCAGTGATCAGCAGGATAAGCCAATCTAATTGGGCAATATAAGTGAAACCATCAAACTGGCCTGAAATAAAAAAAATATACGGATATATATTCCATTATTTATATGTGTATATCTGCATTGAGTTATTAATATAACAGTTCAACAGCTATATTTCTTAAGCTTATTTCATTTTTTTCTATTACCTGTCTGAAACAAAACAAAGTAGTAGAATCTAGTTTTTTCTTTAAGGCTTTTCCTATTGTTTGCTCACATAGTCTTAAATCAACCAATCGAAGTATTTATCAATTTCAACATCAATATTATGTCTTAAATTAAGATTAGTATTTTTAATATTATATCAATTTGTTTATTTTGTCATCTTTTCATGATATAACATCATAATAATATTTTTACATAAGTTTTAGGATGATATTATTGATTTTATTATTCTTGTTTGTTTATCAATATTTCTGATAAATGGAGGTAAAAGTTGAATATATCACACACACAGATGACTGCACCTTTTGCATTTGGCAATAGATACAGTATGTCAAACAATAATAACACAACACGATACAACTAATCCGTTCTTCTAGGACTCATCGGTGTTGCCAGGTGCCGAAAAGCTAGAAATCCAAAACGTCGACAATGCTGTTGAAAAAGTAATAAAAAATAATTTATAAGAATGAGAGAGGTTTATGTTTTGATTGCATGGATTGTAATAAGAATTAAATTAGTTTTGGTCTAAGTAAAACGCTAAATGCATTAAAGTTCTATCAACAAGGAATATGAAAACAAATCCCTACTTAATGATATGTGTACCATTGCCAAAACTATACCTACAATGTATGAATCGGAAACTTTTGTTACCTTCATAACAATAGCTTCAATTGATAATTCCTTTAAAGACACCCATTACTTACGAAATTTTATGAAACAAATAAGTATCATACATGTACATGTAACATAAAAAAGAAATATCAACAACGGTGTTCTAAGTGTAAATCGCAATTAGCCAGGCTCTGATTGGAATCCAGGTCCTCCTATTACAATACCACAAACTGAGCTACGCATTTTACGTCCCAAACAGACTACAGCTTTGTAACAAATAAATTCAGAGGAGGTGACTGTGTATGAAAAACTGCGGTGGAAGTATCAAGCTTTTTGCCTGCATTTGGACAGGAATATTTAAGAAAGAACTTACAGCAAGCACACAGTCAACACGAGGGGCGGTAAGGTGTCAAGCGTATATTATCAAAGTAAACAATATGATCATCCACAAAATGAATCAAAAAGAGGCTCCAATTCCTGCATTATGTTTGTATGTCATGTTGTATCGAACAAAATCCAAGAAAATATTTATTAACGATAGGGTATCACTACAATGGTCGTACAATATCTCAATAATGATTAAAGGCATATCGGGTTTGATGTGTTTTAATTTTATTTAACAGCCTGTTGATAGCTAAGATCATTTAAAAAAGTGCCTCCATGTGTGTTGTGTGTATGTGTACTGGAGGCGGAGTATATTGATGCATTTGCCTACTTGCGATAACGCAGATCTCGTGCCGACTTTTGAGTGGTACCTGCCGAAAGCGCTCTGCCTAGTATTCCGCCATATCCCAAAATATAGATGAAGTTAAACCAGATGTTGCCATTACCATCACTGGTGAACATTAATCAGGGAATAACACTACTATCATTATGAAGGATTTTGGGATGTACCTGCTTAGGAACAGAACCTTTTGCTCACCTTACTTAGCGTAAGGAAATAAATCGGTTGCTGGAAACTAGAGAGAAAATGTAAAAAACACAAATGTTGCAATGGATGCAGCGGATTAAATTGGTTACAGGTGGGTCCCTAGCTTAAAATCCCGTCTCACAAGTCTGTCAACAATCAAATGAATGTCTTGGTCATTACTGTCCTTTGCAACGGTGTTGAGTAACATATGATAAATGAAACAGACGTCTGGAGATGAAGACAGCAACGGTTATTAGATAAACGTTAGCATGTACGTTACCAAAAGTGCCATCAAACTAGCAAAATATTGATTATTTATTATTCATTTAGGAGTAACAGATTTTATACCTGAAAATTTATTTTAAAACAAACGAAACACTGTTGGTGTTACAACCTCAGAAAAATAACTCTGTCACAGTTGTAGTCCAAGTGTCTGATTTGAGGAATAGTTTGTAATGCAAGAGCTAGATTGGCCAAGTCAGAGACTCTTCATATTTATAGCATTAAAGTGACCAAACTATATATCTGTTCAACGCCCTGAAACATCATTGTAGGTCCTACCCACGTAAACCGGAGACGGCAAGCAATGGTTAGATTACCGGTATTCCGAAAAGTAAGGAAATCCAAGGTTGATCCCTCGCGGGACCGCATAGATAAGCCTCACAAGCGGGACCGCTAAGGGTCCATCCTGTCCATCTTGGGGACTCAGGAGACAGGCAAAATGATAAAAATACTGCAGGAAAATGGGGGAGGGCCTTGGACTGCATCTTTGCACTGGAGGACTATACAATGTGGTAACACAGGTGGTGAGTAAGTAACTGACCCTTTCAGAATTTAGGGTCAGTAAGTTGAGCTGTGGCCATAGCCTCTGGTATATCAATTTTAAGGAAGAGTTTAATATATATTTATTATCAAAATCACGTTGTTTTAAAACCAAACAGTGATTGAAAACCTATTTGGCGAACTTTGAAAAAGTTTACTTCCTTTGTCAGGCAAAGTGTGTAAATGACCGGTGTCTCGACTCTAAACTCGATTCAGTGTGCCGAATCAGTCTCTGTTTATCGATTCCCTTCCCTTCTGACCCAGATTGATTCTTTGATTTTCCTGACTCAAGCCAATTTTGCCTCTTTCATAAACACAGAGAAGAAAACAAACGGTATGGTCATTATGCTATACATAAAAAAGGTGTCTGAAACCCTTAAAGGAGCGTTGTATAAACATCACATCAGCACGCCCATGCGACCACATAACACCATCAAATAATTAGTTGTTTATCCGGAAGACAAATTACCGAAGAAAGACCAAACATGGATTGTTTACGAAATCCCATATAAAAACTTAAATCTTAAATCTACAAAGGAATTACAGTGAGAACATGGGAAAGACAATATAATAAAGCAGTCATAACTGACCACGAGATAAAATGTTACCCGTCCCCTGACTGCATACAATATAAGAGTGCTATTTGGCGAAATGGCGATATTTTTCTGACAGCAGACGTTACTGATTCGGCACACTGTGGCTAAGTGAGGTTTTATTCAGCGGTTGAGAGTCGAGGCACCGACCATTCACACCTTTTGCTTGACAAAGAAAACAGACATTTTCGAAAGCTCGCAAAATAAATTATCCATTTTTCTCTGTATTCCAAATAAACTTATCATTCATTTATCAAACCAAAATGATAAATGGACGGATTGGTCGAGTGGTTAACACTCCGGCCTTCTTCGCAGGCGGCCGGGGTTCGATACACCAAGTCGTTGTTGTCATGGAATATTCAGAGAAAGTGTTTTTCTCCTGCCCACACAACTCCAACAACCCAGGTTGAGTATAAAATGGTCTGGGGTGGATGTTGCGGTATCTGTGCTGTAGCATTCTAGTATGGTGTCACTATAAATGATGCCGTTAGAAGAACGGTCCCTCTACAAACAAAACACATTTCATCTCCAGCACACACGCAGGCATACACACATAGGGGGATATTAGTCAGACGGCATAGGACTAATAGTTAGTGCCTGATAAGGCAGCTCCTGCGAATTCCTTAAAATTGTATTAATTTATGCATATGCTAATTGTTTTAATTGTGTATCATGTACTGTAAAGCGCTTTAGAGTGGTTTATTCTAGCTAAAAAGGGCGCTATATCAAATTTTAACTATTATTAATATTATTATTATAATTCTAAATTCGAACATTTTTCTTTTAACTTCAACCCTAGTGTTTTCAACGCTTTGCAGATATAACGTAATACCAAATATGGTCACGCCAAACTTCAGTCAAGTACATATATTTTGGCGGTCTAGCTTTACAAAGATTCCGCGCTTTTCCAGAATACACTGTTGCAATTATCTTGATGAAGTAAAATCATCATACTGTTTATCCTACAATACAAACACCAACAAGAGTAATAGATGAATAAACATACGGTTCCAAAGTCGATTTCCATGTCGTGTCACCATGCTCTGTGTGCCGTCAAAGCACGTGCATACTCCGGTCCCATTGTTATATGAAGCTGCCTTACATTTCACTATATTTGAGCAGCATGCGAGACAGATGACCAGTGATGATGCGCTGGTGGTCAGCAGCGATGGACTATACAACAGACCAGCACCGGCAACGTCCTCCAGCCAACTTGTTGTTGATGCTAACTCTGAAATGTGCAGAAAGTTATAATCAAATGTAAAACATTAAAACATTGAATCGAGTTAAAACTATGGAAAAATGAACAGGATAGTACATTACTCGGATAACGCTGGATAGCGCATTACATGTATCATTATTCGTCTGTAATCATGAAATGGACTCATTAATTATGTATGCTTCATATGTATGTATTATACAATTAGGTCATGATCAGTAATGACAGAACTGCATAGATATTTCCAAACATTTTCTTCGGGTTGTCTATGAATTATTTATCATAATGTGTGTGTATGTGTAACGCATCGATGACTAGTTCAGTACATTCAATGAGCAGTGAAGCACAAAATATGAAGTATATACGAGTTGGCAATGACATGATGGTTAAGCAGTCGGAGTCCCAGTTCAATAAATCGACAATCACAGACAATGCAAGTGACAAAGCACGTACTGTAAAAGTTGTACGCTCCCTTAAAGGGAGGGGACTGCTATATCCATTATATAGCACTATTCAAGTAACCAGTTACAGTATAATTGGTGGTCCTAGTTTGTCCATGGAAAAAATAATTACAGATATATATTAATATCAACTGATATATTGATTCTTCCACAGCCAGTATAGGTTTCGTCACTACCGACTTATTGGTTAAATCTGTTAGGAGTTGGCAAACATTTCTAGTTACCCACTTGTGGGTAACACTCTGGACGTTATTTCCTTGGTCAATCATCATATATTTTTTACAAAATAACTATAAAATCAGAAAACATTGCCTTGCGACGTCATCTTTAAAATTCACGTTTTCAGAGTTCATGGCAATCGTTTTCTCGGCCGGAAACAGGAATAATGTATTTCCAATATAGGTAATCATATGCAAATACGCAATATATGGCAGGACATTTGGTCATCTCTCTGGCAAACGAACATGTTTGACAACTTTTTGTTCAAGAGTGGTGGATTATGCTTTGATTTCGGAGGATACCCTGGTTGCGTGTACATGTATCTATTTTCGAGTCACAGTTTTTTTATCAACTTTATCCGATTATCAATGTAGAGTAGAATTAAAAAAATAAGCAATGTTCACAACTAGTTATGATACAAAATGAATTGGTCATCAGAAACATCCAATTTCGACTGAAATGACAAATCTATTGCCGCATGTTTTTAGAAATGCACCTGTGTTCCAGATTTTAAACATAGGAAATAAACTTTCTGAAATTCACGTCATTTGAGTGATCAACCTCAATGAAAAAAGGCGACAGAGGATTATTAAAGTATTATTCAAACAGCTGTTGCAGCTTCCCTGAAGACTCGTCAACTAGGATAAAATACACTTTTAGAGACTATTCCCGTTTTGTTGATTTCAGAAAAGCATTTGCCAGCATCCTATATATAAGTCTTCAAATAAAATGGTTATTAATTGATGATCTAGACGGTAGTTCGTTGTGGTATAATCATTTGCGCTGTCTGTACCACTGGAATACATTGTATGTCATAGGAAAATCAAAGGCTCAGTTTGTGCAGCCTTGTGAGTGAGACGAGAAGATTTGTTTGATCCTTTGATGTGCATCAAAATAATCTGTCGGTTGCCTAACGGTAACATTAACTGGCTTTGAAGTCGTATGACGTTCCTCTGTAATCTTCGAAGGACAGGTGTCAACCTAACGATTTGTCATGGGTTTTTTCACCTGAGACCAATCAAATAACTAGCAGGGGTCCAGAGAACCAAAGTGAACGTACCCCATGGAATATTGAAGATGAATCAAGGATAATAGTTTACAACCTCAACTTGTTTCAGACTTAAGCAGATAAAATGGTTATAAGACTGGGGACAACTTAAGCCTAAATTAATTTAAATATCGCTTTATGATCTCCTAATTTTACTTGAAAGGTCTGCAAATCCAGCTGTATGGCACAATAAGCAATGCTCTCTGTTTATTGTATGCGGATGACTAGATGCATTATACTTATTTTAACGCTGGCGGAAGATTTACACCAAATTTAATATTTTGCCAAAATTTTGCCAAAATTCAAGACATATGTACAAAAAAAGACGTTGACTTTGGACAAAGCATACAGAAATATTGTACATCATCTTTATATTGATCCAGATAAACTATTTTCCGATCTTGAAATCATTCACTACAAAAAAAAGAAAGATAAAAAAATGGAATTTAATATTCAATTATTTAACTAATTTAGTCTTGTCGGTAGAAAAGTCCCGATAAGGAACAAAGCCTCGATCTTCTTAACTGGTTTTACACTCAATAGGTATATTGCATTATACTAGATTCATGTAATAATTAGATTGTTTAACACATTCACATGCTAATCAAAGGTATGCTTAATGACAATTGTATTATGAATTCGAATAATCAATTTAGGAACTTTGTCATGCAAAACTTTAGGAAATCAGTGGAAAACAACATTTATTTGCATTTTGCAAAGATGAATTGGTGAAATATAACATTTGAAATTCTTTTTCTTTTAAATTCTTTGTATAACGATGTACATCAGCATAGACTTAAAATTGAAAGAGGCAGATACCAGAGCATCCCCTATGATCAACATTTGTTTCACAAAAGTGCAACACTTCCATTTATAAAGATAACAAGCATTTTATATTACAATGTACACTGTGTTGTGTGTTCAGCTACAAAATGTAAGACAATTGCTTATGATCACTATCAAAAAGAAATAGATTAATTCTATCAATCTTAGTCAAGGTAAAAAAGAATATTTGGATTATGACAAAATTAAGATCTACATATTTAACATATATTTAGGAAATTTAGTTCTGAGAAGGTGCATACATGTACTTATTGTAAAGTAAAATACACTTCTAACTAATGTTCGGTATGTCTATATTGTATACAAAACATGTGTTTGTTGTCAATTATAACATGATGCATTTAAATTGTCTTATATGTGTCTTTGTTGTGTCAAAACGATTAAAATAATGCTTAACATGTACGTGTACATTGTCCCCTGATTAGTTTGGTCTCTTACATGTTTCTTGAATTAAACAAGTTTCATCATCAATAAGTGAATGCTGTCAAGGCGACAAATATCAATTCATCAGGAGCTGTTTTTAGAAGATGTACACTAAATGTTCACTGTTTATCATTAAAAGCAACTTACCTATCTGAAAACTGATGTAGCTTAGATGTACCAAAAGTGAAAATCTCTGAACGACGTTCATGATTTGGACGATTTTGTTGATGAGATGATAGGATAAAGAAAGAACCGGATACGAAACAACGTTTTCAATTATTCAGATCTGTACTGCAGAAACTAAAGCTGTGAACAGTGTTACCAATCGATATTTTTATTAAAGTAAATCAGAAGAATAACAAGGCGAATGTGTATGAATGAGGATTGATTCGTCATCATTAATCAATACAGATGCCATCTTTTACGGTTTTGTTCCGTCATGCAACAGCACAATGCAAGCATTCATCATTTAATTATTACCTTGCTATGTCAGTAACCTTATGAACATTGTAACATTGTACAAGGTCGAATCAATACCTTGCAGTGCTTTAGGTCTACAGGGCAAATCCAGAATGAAATATTTTTTTGTAAAACAAATCGCCTCGTTTTTGTTTCAACGAATACTCTATAACTTGAAAAACGAGGAGGAATGATATGTATCTTGCCTATGAGTCCCTTTTATCATCTTTGACCTCCTAAGGCGTTGATGTCAGTAAAAAATATGTTGTTATCAAATACACGTTGTTTTAAAACCAAACAGAAATGAAAACCTATTTGGCGAACTTTGAAAAACGTTTACTTCCTTTTGTCAAGCAAAGTGTGTAAATGACCGGTGTTTCGACTCTAAACTCGATTCAGTGTACCGAATTAGTCTCTGTTTATTGATTTCATTCCCTTCTGACCCAGATTGATTCTTTGATTTCCCTTTACAATTTGAGTTGTCTCCCTTGTGGCTATCATCGGTACCGAAAAGATAACAGGTTCCTATATTTTATGGATCGATGTTGGCATTTAAAAATATAAATTAAGAAGGAGTCAGTGATACTTGGGTTGCAGTCCGCTAGTACTGTACAGACGTGTAAAAACACTACGGCTACATGTACGTGTAAGCAGGATATTATTTAATTTTCTCTATTCGAGATCTAGCATACCGACATCTTTACTCCTTATACTCTATGTGTTGTTCAGATATATTACTCTATAATACTCGACCTCCTTCTATTTCTTCTGACCCGTATAAAAGTAGCTACATATACCATTCAAACTTAGCTATTGTTTTGTCTTTTACTTGATGTGCTTGTAAACATACATGACTAACAACAAATATATACAACCCTTCCCTACTCCTGTTTTAAATTAGCAGTAAAAACCTTTGTCTTACAACAAGTATTATATAAAAAATTCTGAACATGAATATTTTGCAAGGAGAACCGAAAACAAAGTCAATTGTTCGTTTTTATTATAGAAAGTCAATCTTTCATTACCTGATACTTAGTTCGACCCTCGGTCACAGTACATACGGTTGTTCCCCACACGTACGTTTAATATATCTGAGTGTATGTCCCCACACGCATTTTTAATATTTCTGAGTATATGTCCCTACACATACGTTTAAAATTTTCAGAATCGCTCATAATTTGTTATTTTTTTTTAATTTTCAATACCAATGTCATTATGTACGGAAGTGATCCAGATGGCCCTACCTGTTTGTATTACATGTCACTATGTACGGAAGTGATCCAGATGGCTCTACCTGTTTGTATGTCATGTCACTATGTACCGAAGTGATCCAGATGGCCCTACCTGTTTGTATTACATGTCTCTATGTACGTAAGTGATCCAGATGGCCCTACCTGTTTGTATGTCATGTCACAATGTACGGAAGGGATCCAGATGGCCCTACCTGTTTGTATTACATGTCTCTATGTACGTAAGTGATCCAGATGGCCCTACCTGTTTGTATGTCATGTCACTATGTACCGAAGTGATCCAGATGGCCCTACCTGTTTGTATGACATGTCACTATGTACGGAAGTGATCCAGATGGCCCTTCCTGTTTGTATGTCATGTCACAATGTACGGAAGGGATCCAGATGGCCCTACCTGTTTGTATTACATGTCTCTATGTACGTAAGTGATCCAGATGGCCCTACCTGTTTGTATGTCATGTCACTATGTACCGAAGTGATCCAGATGGCCCTACCTGTTTGTATGTCATGTCACAATGTACGGAAGGGATCCAGATGGCCCTACCTGTTTGTATTACATGTCTCTATGTACGTAAGTGATCCAGATGGCCCTACCTGTTTGTATGTCATGTCACAATGTACGGAAGGGATCCAGATGGCCCTACCTGTTTGTATTACATGTCTCTATGTACGTAAGTGATCCAGATGGCCCTACCTGTTTGTATGTCATGTCGCTATGTACGGAAGTGATCCAGATGGCTCTACCTGTTTGTATGTCATGTCACTATGTACGGAAGTGATCCAGATGGCTCTACCTGTTTGTATGTCATCTCACTATGTACGGAAGTGATCCAGATGGCCCTACCTGTTTGTATTAACTACATGCAGTTACAATTTGCGTCTACACTTATCCGATACTACAACACAGATACGTGTATGCGATAACTTTACCACTATCATATAATATTATGCAGTTCTATTATCCCATTTTACACACGAAGAAGTCAGTTCGTCAGACGTCTGTGCCATTTGTAGTTGGGTTTTTTGATAAAAACACACATACAAGGGGATTTTCAAAAATTATCTGATATCCAAATACGGAGAAAACCTATTATACTACTTGCGAAACACATTCAATGAATCCATAGCAACATATTTATAATTAATATATTTTGTAGATATGCCTCTAATATTGTTAAAAATATTTCGTTACTTTTGAAAACATAACCGATTCATTGTTCACATCAACATGTACATTTAACATTAGCGTCTCCATATCAGGTCACCATAAAAGCAAAGAAACATCTGTGGTGCAGTTAAAAAAAAACAACACAAAACGTTGGATCGATATATCAACCTAGGTAGGACCAGTCAATAACCCAAATGTAATAAAATTTGCAATAACCCTCAAGAAAAAAAAATCTGTATGCAAATCGCCTTCCTCGTTTTGTATTGTTTTTTTGGCCATAAAGAGGAGTAAAGAAAAACAATAAACAGAAATCAACACTAACAAGAATATTTGAATCACCTTAATCTAAAAGCGTAGAATAATCCTTCTATGCCATCGTCGGTCCTGCCAAGATTGGAAACATTCAGCGAAGACAGAATAATTTTACTTACTCGCGCAAGCAATGATGTAAATAGGGACAACAGAAGCAGTAATATACCCAAGACATCATCTTAATATTAAACAAAAGTCTTCAAATCCCTGCGGGTTGGGGATCGATAAAACACCTGCTGCTACCCACTGCATGTATCGTAAGAGGTGACTGATGTGAAGTGGGGACTAATAGAATCTTTCACCCCCTTGGGGGTGAGATAGGAGAATCTCAACCCGAGGGGGAAGATTCTTAAGTTGCCAAACACGAGGCTTTGCCGAGTGTTTGGCAACTAAAGAATCTTTCCCCGAGGGTTGAGATTCCACTATCTCACCCACAAGGGGGTGAATGATTCTTTTTCTCTTACCCTGTTCTTTCATTGTGTATCATATGCACAATGTAATGATAACGTTACATGCTAAATTCAGGGTTGACGTGACGTTGATGGATTGTTGACGTGACGTCATTGTATTGTTAAAGTGACGTCATGCCATTGTTAGGAATAGGGGAATCCCCCCGTCTCAACCCTAGGGTGAGACTAATAGAATCTTTCACCCCCTTGGGGGTGAGATAGGAGAATCTCAAGCCGAGGGGGATGATTCTTAAGTTGCCAAACACGAGGCTTTGCCGAGTGTTTGGCAACTTAAAAAATCTTTCCCCGAGGGTTGAGATTCTACTTTCTCACCCGCAAGGGGGTGAATGATTTTTTTTCTCTTACCCTGTTCTCCCATTGTGTATCATATGCACAATGTTATGATAACGTTTCATGCTAAATTCAGGGTTGACGTGACGTTGATGGATTGTTGACGAGACGTCATTGTATTGTTAAGGTGACGTCATGCCATTGTTAGGAATAGGGGAATCCCCCCGTCTCAACCCTAGGGTGAGACTAATAGAATCTTTCACCCCCTTGGGGGTGAGATAGGAGAATCTCAAGCCGAGGGGGATGATTCTTAAGTTGCCAAACACGAGGCTTTGCCGAGTGTTTGGCAACTTAAAAAATCTTTCCCCGAGGGTTGAGATTCTACTTTCTCACCCGCAAGGGGGTGAATGATTTTTTTTCTCTTACCCTGTTCTCCCATTGTGTATCATATGCACAATGTTATGATAACGTTTCATGCTAAATTCAGGGTTGACGTGACGTTGATGGATTGTTGACGAGACGTCATTGTATTGTTAAGGTGACGTCATGCCATTGTTAGGAATAGGGGAATCCCCCCGTCTCAACCCTAGGGTGAGACTAATAGAATCTTTCACCCCCTTGGGGGTGAGATAGGAGAATCTCAAGCCGAGGGGGATGATTCTTAAGTTGCCAAACACGAGGCTTTGCCGAGTGTTTGGCAACTTAAAAAATCTTTCCCCGAGGGTTGAGATTCTACTTTCTCACCCGCAAGGGGGTGAATGATTTTTTTTCTCTTACCCTGTTCTCCCATTGTGTATCATATGCACAATGTTATGATAACGTTTCATGCTAAATTCAGGGTTGACGTGACGTTGATGGATTGTTGACGTGACGTCATTGTATTGTTAAAGTGACGTCATGCCATTGTTATGAATAGGGGGATCCCCCCGTCTCAACCCTAGGGTGAGACAGGGAAATCTCACACAGGTAAAATGCGGATACACCTGTCCAGGGTAAGAGAAAAGGAAATCTCACACCGGTAAAAATGCGGAAACACCTGTCCATGGTAAGAGAAAAGGAAAACTCACACCGGTAAAAGTACGGATACACCTGTCCAGGGTAAGATAATTGCTTTTGTGCCCTCTACTTGGGGACGAAAAAAAGCGATCAAAATATAATCTGCTGCACCCAATGCAATATTTGGGAGCTTTCTTTCTACTTCTATCTACCTTTTATTTCCTACCGCCTTTCTTGACAATATCTCACTTTGGGCTTCAATGTTGAGCGTTTGCCCAGGTGAAAAGGGCAATTGGTTCTGTCCCAAGGCTGGAACATACATATACAAAAGTCCTAATAAATGGTAGCTGCTATTCTCTGCTTAACGTTCAGCATTTAGGGTAATGACAACAACTGGTTCACCTATTGTCAGTATCATATGACTGGACGGAATGCTGTGCTGGGTGCCTTCGGCATAGTATTTCAGTGAGATAGCATTATAAAGTGGGCATCAGATCCGCGCTATCACAGGGAGGCAAGCACACCAACATACTCTGTCTCCGGCACACACACACGCATGCACGCATCCACACAACCGAGGCGCGTCCTTAAACGATCCAGACTGTTAATAGGACATCAAACAAAATAAAACCAAACTAAATACTCTGTATTACCTATCTTTTGTGAATACATACTACTTTAGAATGTTGTCGACTTAAACGATGGATTTTACCCGAGCATGGGAATATTTCTGTTGTAACTTGCTTTTCAAAGATAACGGCTTTGGCATGGGTTTCACAACTTTTAAGGAACCCTTGGCTTTGTGATACCTATACATTTTCAAGTGAACATGGCAGACATCGATTGGTAGGTCACATTTCTTTAATGAACAAGTAGTAATTGTAATGGGGGACCATTACAGAAGTCCCCCAAACTGCCCCAATAGTCGCAAAGATGCATCGGAAAAGGATCGCAATGCCATAAAACATCTCCATACTAAATTTGAGTGAAATCGAACAATTTCTAAATTTCGACCAATCAGAAGCATCTGTGTGGTTGCTATTGCAATAAAACATATGTAGTTGAATTCGCAGTCACCTAATACCCCGAAGTTTGACCAATCAGAAACCACCGTACCGTGTGGTTTATATGGCAACGATCTGAAAATAAATATTTGAATGCCCATAAATAATCATGTGCATTACGGTTTTTGGGAAAATGGCCGGACAAGTTCACGGCGGAAGAAGAAGAAGAAGAAGAAGAAGAAGAAGAAGAAGAAGAAGAAGAAGAAGAAGAAGAAGAAGAAGAAGAAAGAACAATAACAAGTCCTAATTGTAATGGGGTCCATTACAGAAATCCCCAAAACCCCCGCAGCTATGTTTGCAGTGCAAACAAATACACTTACATTTCAAATTTGAGCAACATCGACCAATATATAACTTTGACCAATCAGAGGCCATGGCGGCCATCTGTGTTGACCGATCGGAAATTGAAAGATCATTTGCACACACCCTTACCATGATAACACTTGTGTAAAATTTCATTAATGTCCGTCCAACAGTTTTCTAGAAATGTGTCAGACAAATTTAAAGGCGGACGAAGAAGAAGAAGAAGAAGAAGAAGAAGAAGAAGAAGAAGAAGAAGAAGAAGAAGAA